GAGAATCCATGATTGCCCATACGGAATAATGGAGAGTAGTAGGCTTGCCCAGAGGGGATAGTGCAGTACATAACTGCCAATAAAGAATCCAAGACTGTACATAAGGAATAATGGAGAGGACGCTTGCCCATAGGGGATAATGGAGTACATATTTGCCAATAGAGAATCCATGATTGCTCATAGGGACATAATTGCCAACGGCGAATCCATGATTGCCCCAGGGACATAATTGCCAATAGAGAATCCATGATGGCTCATAGGGACATAATTGCCAACAGATAATCCATGATTGCCAATAGAGAATCCATGATTGCCCATAGGGAATAATGCAGAGCAGAGCACACCTGACCATAGGGTATAATGGAGTCCACGCTTCCCACAATGAATAAGGGAGACCTGGATGTGGGGAATAAGGGAAAGCATACTTGTCCAGAGGGAATAAGGGAGACCACATGTGCTGATCGGGAATAAAGGAGCCCACGCATGCCCACAGAGGATATTGGGGTCCACGCTTGCCCAAAGGGAATAATACAGACCGAACTTCCCCATAGGGAAAACAGAGCCAATGCTTTCCATAGGGATTAAGAGAGAAAATGCTTGCCCATAGGAACTACTGGAGAGCATCCTTGCCCGTAGCGAATAATAGAGACAATGCTAGGCCATAGAGAATAACGCTGTCCTCGCCTGCCCACAGAGGACAATGGAGTTCATGCTTGTCCATAGATAATAATGAAGACTACGCTTGCCCATAGGGAATGATGGAAACTACGCTTGCCCATAGGGAATAATGGAAACCACGCTTGCCCATAGGGAAGAATGAAAACCACGCTTGCCCATATAGAATAATGGCCACCACGCTTGCCCATAGGGAATACTGGAAAGGACGCTTGCCCATAGGGAATAATGGAAAGCACGCTTGCCCATAGGGAATAATGGACACCACCCTTCCCCATAGGGAATAATAGAGAGCACGCTTGCCCATAGAGATTAATGGAAAGCATGCTTGCCCATAGAGGGTAATGGAGACTACGCTTGCCCATAGGGAATAATGGACACCACGCTTGCCCATAGGGAATAATGGAAACCACGCTTGCCCATGGGGAATAATGAAGACTACGCTTGCCCATAGGGAATAATGGACACCACGCTTGCCCATAGGGAAGAATGGAAACCATTCTTGCCCATAGGGAATAATGCAGAGAACACTTGCCCATAGAAAATAATGGAAAGCACGCTTGCCCTTAGGGAATAATGGAGACTACGCTTGCCCATAGAAAATAATGGAAAGCACGCTTGTCCTTAGAGAATAATGGAAAGCATGAATTCCCATAGAGGATAATGGAGACTGCGCTTGCCTGTAGGGAATAATGGACACCATGCGCTAGAGTTATGGCCTCTGCTCCGGGACACGTCGAAGCTTTTTACCCCACTCACCTCAAGCTCTGGGATTCGTGGATGGACCAGCTGACATGCTACCAACAACTGCCAGTGCATGAGGCCTTGGCCACGGCCCAGACTAGTGTTACACTCCAGGGAGCTTTTAAGGTTAAACGGCTGCAGTTTGGGGTGAGTGTTGCCCCGGGGATATTTCAGCAATTAATGGACTCTTTGTTGAAAGGGATCCCTGGAGTGATTCCATTCTTTGATGACGTCCTCATCGCTGCAGCCATCCTGGACGAATTTGCCTCCCACCTCCGTGCCGTCCTCTGCCATTTCAACTCAGCGGGCCTCAAAGTCAAATGGGAGAAGTGCCCCCTTGGGGTCCCAGAGGTGGACTTCTTGGGCTTCCGGGTTGATGCGTCTGGCCTCCATCTGGCAAGGGACAAGGTCAAAACCATTGTGGAGGCCCCTCACCCACTTGCAAAGTGGAACTTCAGGAATTTTTAGGGCTCCTGAACTGTTACCACACCTTTCTGCCACACAAGGCTGCGGTTGCGGAGCCCCTTCATTGCCTTCTGGACAAGTCAGCACCTTGGCTGTAGGGCCCTAGGGAAGCAGCGGCATTCAAGGGGGTCAAGGCGCTCCTCATGAGCAAGCGTGGTTTCCATTATTCCTATGGAAGCCTATGGGCAAGCGTGGTCTCCATTATTCCCTATGGGCAAGCGTAGTGTCCATTATTCCCTATGGGCAAGCGTGGTGTCCATTATTCCCTATGGGCAAGCATGCTTTCCATTATTCTCTATGGGCAAGCGTAGTCTCCATTATCCTCTATGGGCAAGTGTACTTTCCATTATTCTCTGTGGGCAAGCGTAGTCTCCATTATTCCCTATGGGCAAGCGTGGTGTCCATTATTCCCTATGGGCAAGCATGCTTTCCATTATTCTCTATGGGCAAGCGTAGTCTCCATTATCCTCTATGGGCAAGTGTACTTTCCATTATTCTCTGTGGCCAAGCGTGCTCTCCTTTATTCCCTACTAGGAAAAAGGCTCATTGTTGAAATAAATACAACGATCTCTAGAAAGAGGCTCTGGGTGGGTGCCCCAGCCTGGACACTCAGTGCCAATTTGCTGTGGCGACCTCAGCAGGGTATAATGACATTGAGTCCACCATTTTCTCCAGAGGAACTGAACTCTGCTACCTAATGAACAGTTGTAATTATGAGTGATCTCCAGCCCTCACCTGGAGATTGGTAACAATGGTTTCCCAGAAGAGAATGGTTGGTTTGGAGGGTGGAGTCTATGGCTTTGTACCTGTCCGAGGTCCCATGCCTCCTGAAACTTCACCCTCTTCAGGCTCCACCCCTCACATCTCCAGGAATTTCCCACCTGGAGTTGGCAACCCTATCTCCTTCCCAGCCAATCATCAACCTACCTTTATTTCCCCCTCACTCTTCAGCTTTCCACCTCCCACACACCTGCAGCCTCTCCCATGCTCTGAAGCCCTGACTGCTACGTCACATTGGCTGTCATACGGGGGCCACCTCAGCAGCATATAAGGATACAGAGCCCACCATTTTCTCCAAGGGAACTGATCTCTGCCATCTGGAAAGCAGTTGTAATTCTGAGTGATCTCCAGCCCTCACCTGGAGATTAGACACATTTTACCTCAGAACAGCACATTGTTTAGAATATTAGAGGCAAAAGCCAATCAAATCACATATGCAAATGAACTCTGTGTTCCGAGGCAAAGGCCAATGAAGCTGCATATGCAAATAACCTCTGTGTTCTGACTGGCTATGGGGGGGAGAGGAACAGCAAGCTGTTTAAAATGTTGGAGGCTAGACTCAAGCAATGCAGCCAGTGGATAGGGACAAATTCTGAGCCACTACCCCCACGACCTCACGCGAGAGGTGGAATTTGCCCCTAGGAGTCCAAGGCCACCACTCAGGGAGTCAGGGGAAAGTTTCGCCCGCCCCACGACCATGCTTTTCACTTTGGAGGAGGCTTGTAGCTCATAAAAAAATTTTTTTTTGCAGCGTTCATTGAAAGAGAACTTTGGATTAAAACTTTGGTATGTGGCAACCTTGTGCTGAAAATTGTTGTTGAACTCCCTGAGGAAGATTCTGAAACAGAAGGATATCTGGACCTCTGTTGGAGGAAGACAGAGCACATGTTATAAAGAGACTTTAAGGAGTCCTCCCTTTTGAAACTTTTATTTAACAGAGGAGGACTATTATTAATTATAAGGTTGTACAATAGCTTTTGAGATTCTTGGAGATGATATTTGATATTTTTGATATCTCTTATATTGTAAGAGAGTCCAAGGCCACCACCCTGGGGCTCAGGGAGGCAGGGGAACGTTTCGTCCAGCCCCCCCCCCCCCAGCGGCCATTGCAGCTGTGATGGCGGGGGCCATAACTTTTTGAAGAGCCCCTATCAAGAGCTGGAGGAGCCAGAATAACCTCTCGTGTGTGATGGAACCTCCCGTGAGATGTGGAATTTGCCCCTAGGAGTCCAAGGCCACTACCCCCGCGACCTCACGCGAGAGGTGGAATTTGCCCCTAGGAGTCCAAGGCCACCACTCAGGGATCAGGGGAAAGTTTCGCCGCCCCCCCGACCTCTTCATCATTCCCTATGGGCAGTCATGGGTTGTCTATTGGCAATTATGTACTGCACTATCCCCTCTGGGCAGGCGTACTCTCCATTATTCTCTATGGGCACTCATGTATTCCCTATGGGCAATCGCTGTGCTTAGTTTTTTGTTGTTGTTCAGTCCCACAGTCAAGTCCGACTCTTTGCGATCCCATGGACCAGATCACGCCAGGCCTTCCTGTCTTCCGCCGTCTGACGTTGGCTCAATTTCATGTTCGTTGCATCGATGACACTGTCTAACCATCTCATCCTTTGCCGTCCCCGTCTTCGTTGACCTTCAGTCTTTCCCAGCATCAGGGTCTTCTCCAGTGAGTGCTCCCTTCTCATTTGATGGCCAAAGTATTTGAGCTTCAGTTTCATTATCTGGCCTTCCAGGGAACAGCCAGGGTTGATTTCTTTTAGGATTGACTGATTTGATCTTCTTGCAGTCCAAGGGACTCTCAAGAGTCTTCTCCAGCACCATAGTTCAAACGAATCTATTCTTCGTTTTAGTTTAGTTTAGTTTTAGTACGTCCCAAATTTTCGCAATTCCATCCCAACCAGAGAGCAGCTTTCGAAGAAATAAATGCCTCGGGCTAACTTGGGGATGGAGGCGGATTTCTCAGAGCAGAATAGCGCGCCTTCGCTTTTATTGTTGAACAGGAGAAACAGAGAGTGCTCAGGGGTGGAGATTCCCAGAGCCCTGGAGCAACAACGACCCCGAATCATTTTTAGACTTCGTCCGCAAAAAAGGGGCTCGCAGGACGGCGAGGGCCCCCCCGTTCCTTTATAGTCAATGGCTACAGCCCGGTTTCCGCAACCTACCGAGAAAGAAGCGCCCCCCTCCCTTACACGTGCAGCAAAAGAGAGCCGCGCGCATCACGTGCACTCGCAGAGGCGAGGAGTGACTCCAAAGCCAGCCCCTCGCCAGGCACAGTAACTCCCTTCTGCTCTCGAGGAGCTTCCTCTCCTCTTTGTTGTCAAGCCGGCCGGGTGGGCGGCCGAGCCGGGGAAGACGCTGCCCACGAACCACCATGGCTTCCCCTAAGAAAGGCTTCTACCGGCAGGAGCTGACGAAGACCCTCTGGGAAGTGAAAGAGCGCTATCGGGATTTGCAGCCGGTGGGATCCGGAGCCTACGGCTCGGTGTGGTGAGGAAGCGGGCTGGGCTGGGCGGACTCGAGAGAACGCGTTCGGCTCATCTTGGGGAAGCTAGCCTCGCCCTGACCTTCCCCCCACCCCCACCCCTATCCCTGGAGAGGCACCGTGGCCGCTTTTGTTATGTTTCTCTCGCAACTTCTGCTTGGGGGCGAGAAAAGCCACGCCGAGCTCTCCACACCAAGTACCCGGAAAGGAGAGGCGTTCGTGCCACCTCCCCAGTCCTGCTGAGACCCCGCGCCCGGCCATGTCTACTCCACAGGGATGGTTTTCTAGCCTTGCACAAGCTGGAGTGTATGCACTGTGCGTGTGGGGGGAAGGGTACTGGGTGGCTCTTTGGGGAGGGAAACTGTTGTGATGATTAAAAGGGAAATGCATGTTTTTGGAACTTGTCGTTCGGGTATTCTCTTGTAAGATGTGCCAACACACCGCACTCATTTCACCGGCTTGTTACCTCATTGAGTAACAGGAAACGAATCACCCCCATTGAACACTGGAATCGTGTTCTCCAGATTTGTGAGGCCATCCTCTGTTGTTTATAAGGCTGTCCCCCCCCCTCCTTTGTCAGTACCTGCATGATCAGCAAAATCTACAAGTGGATCCCCATCACTACATTGCTATGCTTCACTTGTTGAACTTTTGCCTCTCAGTGCAAATTTTGAGTGCCCAGGATCCCTTGGGGAGGGGGAGAATAATCCTAATTATTATTCCACATTGTGGAGACATTATTAGTTAGACTCTCAAAGTCATGCTTCTAGAATCATAATTTGGTTCTGAAACAGGAAAGCATACAGGAAAGCATTTGGCAGTGTGATGGAAGATACTGACAGCTGTCAGATATAGAATGATGTCCAGGAAGAAGTGTATAGTGTAGATAAGTTTCTCTCTGGTCTTTTCCTGTAGTACAATTCATTACAATAGAGTTCTGAGGCCACCTTTTCCTCCTATCCCACTGAGAACAAAACTGAAACTTGGCCACCCTTACATAAACTGTTGCAAAGTAACCAGTGGCAACACAACTGGAATTTACGTATTACAGAATGGGCTTGGTCAGTGTAGTTTGGAGCAGTTTTAGATATCCCCAGAAGCTTCCTAGTAACTATGGTGATGCTGTGTGTGCACACAGCAGGCCAAGAGAATTGCAGAGTAAAATGCAAGTGGTATTGTCCATGCAAGGGAGTGTAGCATATACACCTCTGCACAGCGTGACACCTCCTGTTTGGATATTCCTTCCCACTCTTCTCTTGTTTACTGCTGAAGCATTACACTGCTAGTCCATGAGGACATGCCCCTGAGCTATATGGGACCGCTGTCACATTTCTTAGCTAACATCTTGTAAAATGTAACACAGTTCAGTTAAGATGTGCACTACTTCTGAGGATAATGCAAGTGTTGCCAAGTTATATGCAAAAACTTGGCATCCCTGAATGTCTCCCTGGGTGGTATTTTGTATGGCTTGCATCTTTCTGTGTTTCCAAATGTCCATAGGACACGTGGATCCACTCAGTGTGCATTTTCTCTCCCTTTCTGCTCTCATCATTCCTGTTTTTGTGACAGGGAAAGAGAGAAAGAAAAGAAGAAATAGATACTTATGGGTTATTGGATACTGAATATTATAGCTTTACTTGCTAGCTATGTTTGTATGCTGGATGTATAGAAGCTGCCTGACTGCCCCTTGCCTACTACTCATTTTACCACGTATATCTGAAGAGTTGTGTTAGGGGAATTAGAAGGAAGGACAGAATAGCTGGCAGGTTTTAAAAGCTTCTTCTGGGATAAGTCACTTGCTGAATCAAGTGACTTATTGTACCAGTTTGGTGTAGTGATTAAGTGTGTGGACTCTAATCTGGGAGAACTGGGTTTGATTCCCCACTCCTCCACCTGTAGCTGCTGGATGACCTTGGGCAAGCCATAGTTCTGTCAGAGCTTTTCTCTCAAGGACAGTTCTGTCAAGAGCTCTCTCAGCCCCACCTACTTCACAGGGTGTCTGTTGTGGGGAGGGGAAGGGAAAGGAGTTTGTAAGCCACTCTGAGACTCCGGGTGAAGGGTGGGGTATAAATCCAGTCTCTTCTCTTCTTCTCTCAGAGACTAACAGAATTGTTTTGTTTTTATGGATTACAGCCCACATATAGAAGATGATAAATGGGGCTGCAGTCAATGAAAATGTATGCTGGTATAAATCAGACAGTATTTGAAACAGTGCAGGGCATTCTTGTGTTTACTGTAACAAGCTAAAATGTCAGTCACTTAGAAAGTGTGACCCATGAAGCAAATAGTCGAACATAAGCATGTGAGAAGATTAAAGTCAGGAGTCTGTAACATTTCCAGAGGTGAATCCATGGGCAGAATTCTAGGCACCTGGTGGGCTCTGTTCTTTACATGTACAGTGTAAGGTATGGCAGCACATTTCAGTATTTATATGATTGCTCGGTCCCTTGATTTCTATGTATTTATTTGCCTCATTTATGCTGTGCTTGTTCCCCCAATGGGGACCCAAAAAGGCTTATATCATTTTCCTGTCCTTCATGTTATCCTCACAACAACCGTGCTGTGAGATAGGTTAGGCGTTAGGCTAAGTGTGTGTGATTGGCCCAAGGTCACCCAAGTGAGTTTTGAAGGCAGAGTGGGGATTCAGATCTGGGTCTCCCAGATCCTAGTCAGACACTCTGCCCACTATACCACACTGGCTCTTAATTTGTGGATTGGATCCCACCATGAAGAGAAGTTTCACTTAATGCTGTTCTGTTTGTGTAAGACATTGCACAAGAGGTGTACTGTAAGATCAAGCACTGACTTTGTTTTCCATTTTCCAATCACTGTTTCTCTGTGCAAAAGACAAACACTATTTTACTGAATTGGTGTGCAATATGATTTGATTGAAGAAGGTCATTATGGGGAGAGTTGCTGAAATATATACTTTGTACTATATTTTGTCCAGGCGATAATACAAGATGGGACTTAACAAAGGGCTACTTACAATGACTTTCTTGTGTTTCCACTTGCGCAAGAGCTGTTCAGTGGGAATTCAGCCTAGTGGTAAAATTACATTGGAATGAGGCCTGAAAGAACTGTGTCAGTTCAGACTCCCTGAGTATTCACACATAAGAACAAAAGAAGACCCCTGCTGGATCAGACCAATGGTCCATCTAGTCCAGCATCTTGTCTCACACAGTGGCCAATCAGTTCCTCTGAACAGCCAACAACAGCGCATAGAGGCCGAGGCCTTCCCCTGATGTCGTCTCCTGGCTCTGGGATTTAGAGGCTTAGTGCCTCTGAATGTGGAGGTTCTCCTCAGTTACCATGGCTAGTAGCGATTGATAGACTTATCCTCAATGAATATCTAATCTCTTTTTAAAGCTGTTTATTCCTGTGGCCATCTATGATGAACTCCTGCTTCTTCACTGTGTGGCAGATTTTTCCCAACAAAATTCTTAGTTCCCTTTAGGTACTGAACTAATTCCCCTAGAAGCGTGATAATATTTGCGGCTTTATAAATCAGAATGTCCCACCCAGTGACAGAATCTGATTTGGCTTTTGTCCAGCCCAGGAACTTCTCAGGAGAAAACAAGAGCCCTCTGTAAGTACATGCCACTACACTACTCACCCCTTTTGATCATTGATTAATAAATTAAATAGTACTGTCCCCAATACCGATTCTTGTGGGACCCCACTATTTACTTTCCTCCATTGTGAGAACTGTTCATGTCCTGCTGTTTACTTCCTGTCATTTAACCTGTTTTTAATCTATAAGAGAACCCATCCTCTTATCTCATGGCTACTGAATTTACTAAATTTACATCCTGAATAATTTGGAGTCATCTGCAAACTTGGCCAAATTTACTCAGGAGCCTTTCATGAGATACCTTGTCAAAAGCCTTTTGAAAGTCCAGGTATATAGTCTACCAGGTCACCATTGTTTACTTGTTCACTTTCTCAAAGAGCCCCAAAAGGTTGGTGAGGCAGGACTTCCCTTTGCAGAAGCCACTCTGATTTCCCCTCAGCAGGCTTTGTCACTATCTGAGCTTAACAATTCTGTCTTTGATTACAGTTTCTACTAATTTGCTAAATTGACTGGTTTGTAATTTCCTGGTTTCCCTCTGAATCCCTTTTTAAAAATTGGTGTCAAATTTGCTACTCTCCAATTTTCTGGTACAGCAGCTGAATTTAATGATAGCTTTCATATATGGCTTAGTTAGATCAGTGATCTCACAGCTGAGTTCCTTAAGAACCCTTGGATGTATGCCTTCAGGACCTGGAGACTTACTGGTTTTTGATTTCCCCAGTAGGTCTTGAATTTCATCTCTGGTCTCCTCAATTTGGCTCAGTTGTTCAGACTCCCTTCCTGAAAACAGGGGCTGTGGCATGGGTACGTACCCCACTTTCTGTTTTTTCCTGGACAAGGGGAACTCCTAGCGCCTCTGCCAGCTCCATGAAGTTTGCATTGTCCTGTATCTTTCCTCCCCACTAATAGGAAGTCACCAAGATAATGGGCAGTACTGCACAGTCCTGTCCTGAAATGCAAGGCCCATTCTAAAAAGGAACTGAACCTCTCAAATGCAGCACAGGACACTGAGCTTCCCATTGTAAGGGCCCTGTCCATGTAAAATTTGCCCTCGAAAGCAAAACCCAGCAGCTCAAAATCACCCGGGTGGACAGGGAGGAGACGGAAGGCTGACTTAATGCCACATTTTGCCAATTCAGCACCCTGTCCACAGCAGCGCACCACTTGCATGGCCTGATTGAACGAAGTGTACCTAACTGAACATAACTCTTCCGGTATCACGTCATTCACTGACTCCCCACGTGGGTATGGCAAGTTGTGAATGAGGCGATACTCCCCAGGTGCCTTCTTTGGCACAACTCCCATTGGGGAAACCCTTAAATTATTAACTGAGGGAGAAGGGAAAGGGCCAAGGACTCTACCTTCCTTGCATTTCTTGGCAATCAGGTCAAGTTCCAAGACCTGTATAGGGCTGATGGGGTGCATTTATCAGACAAGGGCAAGAAATTATTTTTGCAAGACTTGTGGCAAGGGGTTAGGGCAGCCTTAGGCTGTTAGGTGGCCGCAAAGGCCAAAGCAGAGGCTTGGCCTTGGCAGTGGCAGGTTTTTATGGGCAAGAAAGTAGAACCGGTGAGCACCTTATGGCATTTTCCCATTAGGGAACAGGGGGTCATCAGGAACTGCCTTCGGATTTTAGGGTCCAAGGTGGGGAATGATGATCACCTCTTGGAACTTCTTAGGGCAGGCTCCTCCCTGCAGGTTGTATGGTTTCAGGGGTAGGTGCTCCTGGGTGGCAACCAGTTTGCTGGGCTGCTGGGTGCAAGCCAGACTGCTGGCTCAAGACCAGAGCTGGTGATTCACCCATGAAGGGCAAGGAGGTTGGTCAGGGAGTGACACCTGCCTTGCCTGTTCTGTGCTCACTTAGTTTATCCTTTGCCGCACTGTTATGTTAAATAGTTAATAAAGTGGCCCTTGTTTACTTCCAAACTGTTACCTGTCTCATTATTCTGACTTGGGGGGGGGGGAGCAAACCACGCAGGCCTTCTTTTAGATTTGGCAGTGCCTTTCCTAACCTATGGAATGTATACTATTTTGGCTTCAATTAGTGTGGTTTTAAATAATTTTCAAGCATCCTCTATATTGACTCTCTTGTGTTTCCCCTTCAGCTTCCTTTTTACTATTCCCCTCATTTTTGTAAAATTCCCTCTTTTGAAATTAACCATTGCAGTTTTGGACTTCAGGGGTAATTTTCCATTGACCTGAATGCTGAACTTAATAGTGTTGTGGTCACTGTTCTCAATTGGTGTACATCTCTCACCAGGTCTTGAGACCCACTCAAAGCCAAGATCACTACCCCACCCGCTGTTCCAGTGCACAGTCATTTATGATGTCTAGGAATCTCCTTTTTATAGCCATTTCATAGCATATTACTAAGTGTGAGGAGTGCGTCTTGGTCAATACTTTGCATTCCAGCTGTCTGTGCTATTGGCTATTGTCATGATCTGGGCTGTGCCATCAGAGGCCTACTAGGCCCAGAGAGCCTGGCTAGCAGTAGGGGAGGCTGGGCCTACAAACCCCAGAAGGCCTTGGAAGTTTTGGCACTGATTTTGACCAATAGGGAAGAAAAGGACTGGGGAATATAAGAACTGGTACAAGAGGAAAAGCTATTCTTCTTCCCAGGGAACAGGGCCAGAAGAAAGGCTGCTGTGGGGAAGAAACCCTCATTCTGAGGGAAGGGTTAGTAGTCTAAGGCCACTTGAAATAGTGAGCTAGGGACAGTATATTTAGATGCATTAGGGCATTTGATTTCTTTTCTTTTCACCCAATTACTGTTATTATTCTGCACCTTGTTTGTTTGACCTCCTATAAGATAAACCTTTTCCTTGTTGTACTCTGCCTGGTCCTCACTCCTATTATTCGGCAAAAAGGGAGGTCTGAAGGTCTTGGGAGGGTACTCTGGGCCTTCTCAAGGGTTCCTAAATCTAGAGTGGTGGCAGCATCAGGTGACACCCCACCTGAGCCATGACAGCTATTTTTGCATCTTTTTTGACTCACCTTCCATTACAAGCAGCAGAGATGACCATCCAAATACCTTTGTTCAAAGGAGCTATTCAAGGGAAGTAGAAGTGACAGTGTAGATATAGTTTGTGAGGAGAGTGTACAAGAGCTTCTTAGGAGACTAGTAGAATCATCTGAAAAAATGAACAAAGTTTGATTCCAGTGGCACCTTTAAGACCAACAAAATTTTATTCAAGGTATAAGCTTTTGTGTGCAAGCACACTTCTTATACCTTGAATAAAATCTTGTTGGTTTTAAAGCTGCCACTGGAATCAAACTTTGCTCTGCTGCTTCAGACCAACACGGATACCCATCTGAATCCATCTGAACAAATATAAGACTTAGAGGCCAGGAATGTAGTCATATGGAGAGTTCTGAAGAAGCTTGTTTCTTCCTCTCCTAAAGTGTTCCATTCAAGTATCAAAACCAAGTGAAAATATTATATCTCACAATGTTATGTTCAATGGGGTCTGTTGAATGAAGTCTACATTGGGACAAGAAAGAGGCATAATTCTTACTGTGAGGTTCTGGTTACTCTCAGCTAGTCAGTGGGCAGGAAAGAGGAGAACATAACAGTACAGTGCTGGATTCTATGAGAGTATGTGAGAATGTTCTGTTCTGCCTTCCGCTTCTGTGTTCTCTTGCATCCTGCACATCCTAGTTGTCCTGCATATGCAGAGTCTGTGGGGATGGTACATGAAGTGCAGGAATGGGGAGGGAAGGAAGCACCTTTCTTAGAGCAAGGATTAAGAGACAGCCAGGATGAATCTAGGCTAGGGACCTTCTTTTCTCATATTGAAATTTGAAAGGTTCTGATTGTCTCCCAGTGTTATTAGTCCAACTGCCTTTGTGGCACAGTCATGTAAAATTAAATATTACAAAAAGAAAAACTATTGGTTTGATAAAGAATGTAGTCAATTAAAAAAGGTACAACAAACAATTCTTAAGTATAGGAAGAATTGTGATCCAAGATTTCTTATTATTCTGTTTCAACTTGAATCTAAATAGAGGACCATAATTCCAAATAAAAAACTCTGTTATTATGGCCGTTGAAAGTAACAATTCATTCTGGCCGTTGGTGTCACCATCATTTAATTCTAGGAAAGTATTACCTTTTTGTATCTCTGCTCAAGTTTGGGAACAGTATTTTACTAGACATTTTACCTCATCAAAAAGGTCTACAATAGAGAATTGTGTAGTTCTTTACTGTTTAGCTAAGAAATAAGGGTCACTTGTATGTTGCTTTTGAGGATTTGCAGGTGGCTTTTGACTCAGTTCCATGTTGTCCCCTGTGGCATAAATTAGATAAATTAGCTGTGGCTTGGAAAGAGCTAGAAAAGTAATTTTGGGTCATTTATATGATCTGGATTTTCTAAGCTCTAATGTATAGAGTTTGCTCTCCCAACAATTTGGGATTGTCCTATCCCAGAAGTCTCCCAGTGTACATTAAGCAGTTGACTGTTCCCTGATATAGGAGAGCTTTTATGCTTGCTAGGTTGAATTGGATACCATTGCCAAGTAGTGAATGATCTTTATAAGAAGGTGCCCTATTTGGAAAAGCTATGCTTATGTCCTACTAGGAAAACTGATACACTGGAACGTTTTTTTCTGGAATGTCCCCTTTTCTCAAATGTGAGAGATTTGTGGACTATTCCATCACTAGGTGGGATGGTAGGTGCACCAGTGGGAGAAAAATTGGGGAGTCTTTTGGCTGGGGTGGTTTCAGAGGTTACTTTAGCTGTTGCAGAATTCTTTTCATATGTTATAAGAGTGATCCTAAGAGGGTTTACTCAGAATCATACTCAGGTATATCCAGTGGGGCTTACTCCCAGGAAAGTCTTCTGGGGATCACACCGCAAGTAGAAAATGTCTTTAAGTTTTATTTATTTTTAGCCTGGTTTATGTGGATTCTAATGTGTCACTACTCAGAACCTGTAGCTTAAATTAGTAGTATCATTTAAGTAAGATACAGCCAGGCTTATGGGCTTTATCACCTATTGCATCGGGATGGTGCCTTTCAAACTCTGTTTGTTAAATTACTTTCACTTATCCACCCATCTCAAAGTATTTACTGATTTAGGTCCCAAGAAATTTAGTTTTTCTTGTAAACATTAGGGAAACCCAGTTAAGGATGGGCTATATATCAACCATTGTGGGCTCTGAACTAATGAGTTAGAGACAAATGTGTCAGATTATAGCACTTTGGAAATAACTTTACCCAACCAAACAACTTAATTATTTCATGCATTTTTCCAAGTAAAACTACTTCGCAGACGATCTCTCTTTCTCTGTGGTAGACATAGTGAAGCCCAGAATTGAATTTTGGTGCTGTTACCTGGAATGCATCAGGAGCATAAATGTATCCTTCTGCTGAGGTTTCACTCATGCTATTTGTGTTTTCGTTCCTTTCAAGCTCAGCTATTGACCGGAAAAGTGGAACCAAAGTGGCCATCAAAAAGTTGTACCGCCCATTTCAATCTGAACTCTTTGCCAAACGAGCCTACCGGGAATTGCGACTCCTGAAACACATGAAGCATGAAAATGTGAGTATGGACACCCCAAACTCCGTAGAGCCCTCTCTTTGGCGAGATTTAATGTATTACCTTTGGCCTTATATCTGGCTGCTTTCAGGGTGTGCCCTTTTCTGACAGATGTCGTCCATGCACAAATGATAATATCGAAACGATATCCCATGTCTTGTTGCAGTGCCCCTTCTACCATGCACTACGACTGAAATTTCTAAATTTTATTTTGGCTCAATTAGAAGAATATCCTGATTGCTTAAAGATTCTTATTCTTCTTGATAATCCAAACCTTGAGATAAGAGAAACTGTTGCTAAATTTCTTTTTGGTGCCATTTCTATTCGTCCTTTATTTAATTGATGGGTATACTTACTTGGTAATTCCTTGTTTCTGTATTTTGCAAGTATTATTCTATGCTGTGGTTGTTGTTGTTGATGGTTTTTTTTGTAAATGGGTTTGCAAGGGTTACATGCCAATAAAGGTAACTGGACTGGGAGTATGGACACCAAGTATTATTCAGACACTGTAAGAAGATGGCTCTCGTTCCTTATGGCATAGCTATAAGGAAATTATTTTGAGTGGGTAGGTAAGTGAATGTATCATTCAGTCTTCATATAAAATCTGATGGAGAGCCAGCATGGCATAGTAGTTAGAGTATCGGGCTAGGATCTGGGAGACTCAGGTTCAAATCCCCAGCCTGCCATGGAAGCTGAGTCAGTGACCTTAGGCCAAGCATGCACTCTCAGCTAGCCTACCTCACAGGGTTGTTGTGAGGGTAAAATAGAGAGGAGGAGAACAGTGTAAGCTGCTTTATGTCCCCATGGGGAGAAAGAGAGGGTATAAATCAAATAAATAATAAATATACGGGGTATTTCAGAAGTAACAGCAAGGTGTGTGCATCAAAACAATTGCTGTTACTATCACAGATATCTTTGTTCTTACATATGTGCACCTGTAGCTTAATCAAGGTTGTAAATGGTTACAACAAAATACAGTCTTGGGGAAGGTAAAAGCTGTATGTAGTCAGACATATCGGTTGGACTTCAGGAAAGCAAATAGAATCCTATGGTCAGAAATACTTAAGGAGAAGGGAGTTCAAGAGGGAGTTTCTTAAAAGCGAAATACTGAAGTCCAATCACAAATTATTCTTATGAGAAGGAAAAATGGGAGGAGCCTAAAGAAGCCAAGGTGGCTCCATAAACAACTTTTGAAAGACTTGAGAAATAAAAAAGGCTCATTTAGAAAGTGGAAGGAGGGCCTTATAACCAAGGATGAATATAAACAAATAACCAGTGCTTGTAGAGAGAGAGTCAGGAAGGATAAAGCTCAGAATGAGCTTAGGCTAGTCAGAGATGCTAAAAACAACAAAAAAGGATTCTTATGTTCAAAGTAAGGAAAAGAGCAAGAACATGGTGAGCCCATTGTGGGGACAGGAAAGTGAAATTGTAACAGGTGATGAAGAGAGGGCAGAACTGCTCAATTCCTACTTTTCCTTCGTCTTCTCTTGCGAGGGAAATGGTGTTCAACATGGCAAAAACAGAACACATGATGAGGGAAGGGAGTTGCAGCCTATGATCAGCATAGGGGGTAGTGCATAAACACCTAGTTTCTTTAAATAACTCTTAAGTCCTCAGGGTCAGATGAACTGCATTCAAGGGTACTAAAAGAACTTGCAGATGTAATTTCTAAGCCCCTGTCCATAATTTTTGGGAATTCTTGGAGAACTGGTGAGGTGCCAGAAGATTGGAGATGGGCAAATGTTGTCCCCATCTCCAAGAAGGGGAAAAAGGAGGACCCGGGTAACTACCGACCCATCAGCTTGATGTCTATACCTGGGAAGGTTTTAGAATAAATCACCAAACAGACAATCCTTGAGCATTTAGAACGGACAGTTGTGATTACTAAGAGTCAGTATGAGTTTCTCAAGAACAAGTCATGTCAAACTAACCTTATCACTTTTTTTTTGAGAAAGTTACTACCTTGCTGGAAAAAGGGAGTGTTGTAGACATAGTTTATCTTGATTTCAAATAAGGCTTTTGATAAGGTACCACATAATATTCTTGTTGACAAATTGATAAAATGTGGGTTGGATCCTATGACTGTTAGGTGGATCTGTAACTGGTTGACAGATCGTACCCAAAGAGTGCTTGTTAATGGTTCCTTATCCTCTTGGAGAGGAGTGATAAGCAGAGTGCCTCAAGGATCTGTCTTGGGATCTGTTTTGTTCAACATCTTTATAAATAATTTGGATGAAGGAATAGATTGAATGCTTATTAAATGTGCAGATGATACTAAATTGGGAGGGGTGGCAAATACAGTATAAGACAGAGTCAGGATATAGGATGATCTTGACAGGCTGAAAAACTGGGCTAAAACAAATAAAATGAATTTCTGTGGGGATAAATGTAAAGTTCTGCATTTAGGTAGGAAAAAATCAAATGCATAATTACAGGATGGAGAAGACTTGTCTTGGTAGTAGTATGTGTGAAAAGGATCTAGGGGTCTTAGTAGACCATACCCTGAACATGAGTCAGCGGTTTTATGTGGTTGCTAAAAAGGCAAATGGGACTTTGGGCTGTACCAACAGAAGTATAGTGTCCAGAGCATGCGAAGTGATGGTACCACTTTGCTCTGGTTAGGCCTCCCCTACTGTATTGTGTTCAGTTTTGGGCACCACAATTTCAGAAGGATATAGAGAAGCTGGAATGTGATTAGAGGAGGGCAATGAAGATGGTGAGGGGTCTGGAGACCAAGTCCTATGAGGACAGGTTGAATGAGCTGGGTATGTTTAGCCTGGAGACGACTGAGAGGTGATAGGATAACCATTTTCAAGTACTTGAAGGGCTGTCATACAGAGGATGGTGCAGAGTTGTTTTCTGTTGCCACAAAAGGTTGAACCAGAACCAACGGGTTGAAATTAAATCAGAAGAGTTTTCGACTAAACATTAGGAAGAACTTCCTGACAGTTAGAGTGGTTCCTCAGTGGAGCAGGCTTCCTCGGGAGGTGGTGGGCTCTCCTTCTTTGGAGGTTTTCAAACAGAGGCTAGATGGCCATCTGACAGCGATACTGATTGTGTGAACTTAGGCAGATCATGAGAGGGAGGGTAGGAAGGGTTGCCTCAGTGCTTAGTTCTTGTGGCTTTTTCTTACATGCCCAGGGAAATGCTGATTACCACATTGGGGTCAGGAAGCAATTTTTCTCCAGGCCAGTTTTGCTGGAGATCCTGGAGGTTTTTTGTCATCTTCTGGGCGTGGAACAGGGGTCACTGGGGGAGTGGGGGGGAGGTATTTGTGAATTTCCTGTATTGTGCAGGGGGTTGGACTATATGACCCTGGAGGTCCCTTCCAACTCTGTGATTCTATGACATTGGAATGCAAAGCAATACGATGGTTGATTCTAGGCAGATATGTGCACAGGTTTGTGGAGAACGGTTTTTGGCCTTTAATTGAGGCTTGGTTCAGATATAAAGTAAAATTAAGCCAGTTTGGTGTAGTGGTTAAGTGTGTGGACTCTAATCTGGGAGAACTGGGTTTGATTCCCCACTCCTCCACTTGCAGCTGCTGGATGACCTTGGCAAGCCATTGTTCTGTCAGAGCTGTACTTGAAAGGGCAGTTCTTGAAAGAGCTCTCTTAGCCCCACCTACCTCACAGGGTGTCTGTTGTGGGGAGGGGAAGGGAAAGGAGTTTGTAAGCAGCTATGAGACTCTGAGTGAATGATGGGGTATAAATCCAATCTCTTCTCCTTCTCCTCCTCTTCTTCTTCTTCTAAAATTATGGTTCAACCATGGTTAGTTTGTAAAACCTGAACTCAACTTCTATGATGCTGTAGGCCAATCCTGCATTGAGCAGGGGGTTGGACTAGATGACCTGATGGACCTTTCCAACTGTGTGATTCTATGATTACTGAAATCTTGGTTTGGCTTGACCAATATGGATTTCATCACATTTGTTCTGTCGCTGGGGAAGGTGGTGACAGAGTGAAAGCTGGAATATCTGCATTCAGACATCACATGAACTAACTGTGATTGATAAACCAACTTCAAAGAACAGTGTTTGACTGATCCTGACTAACCAATTTAATAGAGTGGACAGTGTTCAGATGATCACAATGAACACAGTTAGTTTAATTAAACCATGGTTTTGTGTGATGTCTGAACTGAACCTAAGTGTGTTTTTATTCTTGTTCGAATCTATTTTGTTTTAACTGTTAACAGCTTTGGTCAAACTCTTGATAGCAACTGTTTATGTCAGGAGAGCTTAGATGTGTTTGGATAGTTTCCATAATATGTGTACTGGGAAGGATAAAATAAACTGTGATGAGTATGCTTGATCAATGCATCGATGGTAATATGAAGCAATATAATGGGCTACTTCATATTATGTTTTGTATATCTTTGTGCAAGCAGCTCTGGTTTGGGTCAAATGCTTTGTGTGGCCAACTGTAACGTGTGAATGGGATCATAGCTGGTTGGCTTTCACATGAGCGTGATGTACTTTTTATGGTTAATACTTTGTATATGTCCGCACAGTTGGGTGCCAGGGGCAGTCACGAAAAGGGTAAGAATAAATGGGATGTGTGAATCATCCCATAGAATGGGAAGACCGCAGCCATTCTAACAGAATACTCATGAGTTAAAGTTGATCTTTCAAGTTGAAATCTCAGGAGAGAAAGGGTCAGTAGCTGCGAACATGAAAGAGATGGTTTGTCCGTGTACAGTTTTTTTCTTCTTGTTCAGACATTATGCTTTTTAAGGCAAAATATCCCATAGGAAACTACTCTGTGTTTTAAAGGCAAAGAATATGTTCTGAAAATGACCTGAGTAGTACATATAGCCTTTTAAGTAGAGCAACAAAAGGAAAAAGAGAGGACATCAATTTGTATCATTGTCTGGCTTGAAGCTCCCAAGTAGCTCACAGTGCCCCATGGCCTTTTCACTAGGATCAAGAGAAGCCAGTCACACTGCTGGTTAGGTCATGAATTAAGTTAGTTTACAAACACAATGGTCTAGTAATGGCAAA